TCAACTTTCAGTGCAATTATGCAATACTGTTTTTAGGTACCTTTTTAGGTGTATTGAGTTGGGAACACAGTAAAGGAAAACATAAAACTTCAACTAAGCTAATGTCAATGTTCACTTTTTATTGTCCTGGAAACAATGCATCTTAAAGTGGAACTGAATGCATTTAATAAAAGACTGTTAGCAGACACGCTATTATGGCAGAAGAGACATGAAATGAGTAATAAGATACACCTACCTGCCTTATGCTGTCCTACTAACTGTTAGCAGACAGCTAGCTAAAAAAAACTGACAGAAGCAGCATTGTGCTTGATTCCAAAACTGAATTTACTTCTGTGAATATTTCTGTAAAACTGCAAAACAATCACATAAACTGTAGTTACAATATGCTTTTATACGTCTCTCACAAATGCTTACAATGAACACATTTCTTACATACTGCTACCTACAAATCACATTAAATATATTGAAATGGTATGTTCTTCTGGAAGCTAAACTGGAACTGGACTGATGTGTGGGTGAAAATTCCTGTTTCCTGTTTCAGAAAGGAATAGACTGCCATTGCAGTAAATGCCCAATAGATAGCTTCCTACTAAACACAATAATGAGAGTACAGAATATGCCTCATCTCAGTCTTCTGCGGCATGTAAACCAAGCTATGCATGCGCAGCTCAGTTTACGAGTATAACATTTTGTTGTCAATGTCAAATAAGATCTACATATATGCTATCATGCATACTCATTAGAATATAACTATATTTATGTTTATTGTTCTAGCAGATTGCTTTGAGCACTGTTGGGATTGCTACATAAAGCACTTTCACCCAGTGGCGTCCCTAGGTAGGTGCAGGGGGTGCATGCTGGACTGGGTGACACCTACAGCATGGGGTGACACCAGACCCGCTCCACGAAAAGGTAAGTTGTAAAGCAAGCCGATGATCCCCACAGGATGGATTCGATCCATCCTGCGGGGATCGTCGGCTTTCTTTACAACTTACCTTTTCATGGAGCAGGTCCGGTGTCACCCCATATAGGTTGCATGCCGATGATCCCCGCAAGATGGATCAGATCTGCGGATTGGGGAGCATAACGTATCGGACTCTGATCCATTATGCTCAATCCGCAGATCTGAACCATCCTGCGCGGATCATCGGCATGCAGCCTATACGGGGTGACACCGGACCCGCTCTACGAAAAGGTAAGTTCTCTGTTCTGGGCCTTCAAGAACTCAGCCCCTCTGACACACCTGGTTCAATGAATTGCACTGCAAGCACTTGAGCATAGATACCATTAAAATGGAAGTAAAGGCAAAACCTAACTCTAAACCTACTCTCAGCCTCATTCTAAGCCTAATCTATTTAGCCCAGTAAAGAAAAAAATCGCTATATATACCTGTTCCGGGCCGGTCTCCAGCAGTGCCCTCTATGTGCAGGAGACAGCCGACAATGGCTGGGAAATGCCTGGGAAGGGACATCACCCATTGAGGAGAGGCTTCCGTTGTGGGCTGCCTCTCCTACACATTCCTACACACTGAAGCCAGGGGCAGTGCCAGGTAGGAGGTTGGGGGTGCTTAAGCACCCCCAAAAATTCTTTGAGCACCTCCATAGCACCTTCAAAATTCACATGCCAGTTCTTGCATGCGTCAGTGTTTTTTTTTTTTTTACTTTTACCTGCAAATCCTGTATCAATGCCAGGAAGGTGGGGACTCTTTTTTTCCTGGGGGATACAGCTGCTCTGGCCACAATAATGCAAAAAACCTTTACTGAGTCCCAGCAGGTTGGTTTTAGAAGGAGATTGATACACAGCATCTCTTCTGTTTCCTCAGCCAACAGGAAAGCGCTGAACCTGCCCCCCTTCCCTAGCCCACTTGATTTGAGTTCTACAGAGGAGATGTCAGCAGCTGGATGGGAGGGGGAAGAGAGAAGAGGAGAGAACACAGCACAGCCTTCTGATGCAGGGGATGGAATAGAAGAAGCAGAGGGATTATCCAGCTCCTGGCTGCAGTAATATGCAGTGAGTTTGTTTCCCTACACTTGGTCTAAAGAGAGAGCAACAGCTTCGGCCAGCATAGAGAGAACCTGCTCTTTCCATAGTGTGGGATAATGGAGGTTAGCAGAGCAGCTCCAGAGAACAAGAACATCCAGGCTGTATTCTGACAACAGCAAGGCTTGTGGTAAAGATCCTCCATGGGACAGGGAGAAAAGACATGATGTCTGTGTGTTCTGTCCATCCATCCCTCTGCTTGTCTTCTCTTTGACATAAACATTGCTGGTGTCACAATACAAGATGAACAAATCGAAAATAAATAGTGTCCTCTGTTATTCTGCTAACCCCATTTCCACTCTCTAGAAACAAGCCAGGACTATGGCATATGAACTGTCTGAGTCCATTCTGTGTAACCGCAGTTGCAATTCCTCCATCCAGGCAGCCCAGATCCAGTGTACAGCCTGTCATTGGCATGAATGGTTGTACGCAGCTGTATTCCTTTATACAGTGGTGTAATCATAAACATGAATACAGCAGCGTACAACCATTCATGTCAATGACAGGCAGTACACTGCACCTGCGCTGCCTGGACAGAGGACAGCCACCTATATGCAAGAGCCTTGAATCTCAATAAAAGTAACCTGAAATCTCCCTCTGTACTATCTGTCCCTCCTTATGTCATGCAATCTATTCTAGAGAATCAGCCCATTCACAGCTGCAGTACCTTGAAAAAGTATTCACTAGACAAGTTTCCTTATGTCCTTAAGTTGTAGTTCACACCATTGCTCTGAAAAAAGTAAAACATGTTACATTTTTGTGCAGCATGTTCCAATATACTGTAACACATTACAGCATGATGTGGCACATAACAATACCATTGAGAATAAATTAAAATTAAAAAAAAAAGAAATTAAGTGATGTAATGTTTGGTAATAATGCATTGCACAACACTGGCAATAAAAACACACCAACATTATTGCCGTAGTGTGAGTGGGCCCTGAAGTGAACCTACAGTGCCTTGAAAAAGTATTCATACCCCTTGAAATTTTCCACATTTTATCATGTTACAACCAAAAAAGTAAATGTATTTTATTGGGATTTTACGTAGCATCCTTCTGAACTCTGCACTCTGTATGTAGCATGCTCCTCAACCTTGCACTCTGTACGTAGCACACTTCTGAAATATGTACTGTGCATGTAGCATGCTCCTCAACCCCACACTCTGTACGTAGAATCTTTCTGAACCATGCACTCTGTACGTAGCATCCTTCTGAACCATGCACTCTGTACGTAGCATCCTTCTGAACTCTACACTCTATGTAGCATGCTCCTGAACCCTGCACTCTATATGTAGCATCCTTCTGAACTCTACACTCTGTATGTAGCATGCTCCTCAACCCCACACTCTGTACGTAGAATCTTTCTGAACCATGCACTCTGTACGTAGCATCCTTCTGAACTCTGCACTCTGTATGTAGCATGCTCCTGAACCCTGCACTCTGTACGTAGCATCCTTCTGAACTCTACACTCTGTATGTAGCATGCTCCTGAACCCTGCACTCTGTATATAGCATCCTTCTGAACTCTGCACTCTGTATGTAGCATGCTCCTCAAGCTTGCACTCTGTAATTAGCACACTGCACACTCTTCAACCCTTCACTCTGTGCAAAGCACAATCCTAAACCTCGCACTCCTGGTTTTTAACAATGTCCCTTTAAGACCCTTCCACTATTAGTACAGATTGGGCAGAAGCACCATTTGATGTGGCATGCAACCCCCCCCCCCCCACGTGGGGGGAAAGGGGGTCATTGGTGTTGTGGTGGGAGCTTGGTTGAGATCCTGCATCTATTTGTGGAGAAAAATTCCCTGACCACCAGTATACAGGGGTACACTGAACCCAAGTATGCAGGGCCACTGGCTACAAGTATACAGGCATACCAAATCAAATAAAACAGCTACTGCGCAACCAGAAAAAAATCTCGAAAGCAATAACCGCAGAATCTTTCTAGCTGGTTGCAGCTAGCATTGATATGTGTTCCCACATCCAAAGTGAATCAATGAAAGCTAGAAATGCAGCGCAGCCCTACATTTCCAATATAAAATTGTACAAATGGACTTATAGGTGCAATGGTAAAACCTATATATGAATATTCAGTACAAATCAACCAATGTATCGCAATATATTCGTGATGGTGTCACCCTCTCTGCAAAAATATTTAGAGAAATTGCAGAGCTGCAATCTGAAAATAATAGCGTAACCCCGTACATACAATAATAATAGAAGAGGTGCAATTCAACCAGTGTACTAGGACACAGTAGTGAACGTGTCACCCCCTCTGCAACAGGAATCATAATAAATTTAAAACTGATGTACATATTATACAGTTATTATTATGATATATTGGGGGCTTCACCACTATTTGCATTATGCAGCCCTGCAATATTTCATAACTTTTGCAGAAAGGGTGACATCATCACTACTATGATCTAATACACTGGTTGATTTGCACCTCTTCTATTATTATTATTATTAGTATTATTATTATGATTATACGTAGGGGGTTTCACCCTTGTTTGCACATCGCAGCCCTGCAAAATTTCTTAACTTTTGCAGGAAGGGTGACACCATCAATACTACGTTCTACTACTCCGGTTGATTTGCACCTCTTCTATTATTATTATACATAGGGGATTTCACCATTGTTTGTATTTTTGCAGAGAGGATGACACCAGCACTACTATATTGCAATACATTGGTTGATTTGCACCAAATAATCATATATATGCTGTAGGTTTTACCGTTGCACTTATAAGTCTGTTTGTACAATTTTATAGAGAAAGTGTAGAGTTCCGCTGCATTTTTTTGGCTTTTTATTGATATACAGAGGAGGGGCAACTGATTGCTATACTGCTGGATGTTTAATATTTTCCAATGTGGGGGGTTAATTAATGTGTAGTGCTGGAGGTTCATTACTGTGCTGTGCTCAGTAATTATTATGTTGTGCTCAGGGCTGTCTTTAACCACTTCAAGTGCGGACACTTTTACCCCTTCCTGTCCAGGCCAATTTTCAGCTTTCAGTGCTATCACACTTAATATGACAGTTGCGCAGTCATGCAACACTGTACCCATATGAATTTTTTAGCATTCTTTTGAGACAGATACAACTTTATTTTGGTGGTATTAATTCACCACTGGGATTTTCATTTTTTTGCTACAGTCATGGCCGAAATTGTTGGCACCCCTTGATATTTCTCCAGGAAATCATGTATTTCTCACGAAACGTATTGCATTAACACATGTTTTGCTATACACATGTTTATTCCCTTTGTGTGTATTGGGACAAAACAAAAAAAGGGAGGAAAGAAAGCAAATTCGACATAATGTCACACAAACCTCCAAAAATGGGCTGGACAAAAGTATTGGCACCCTTTCACAACTGCGGATAAATAAGAATGTTACAAGCATGTGATGCTCCTGTAAACTCACCTGGGGCAAGTAACAGGTGTGGGCAATATAGAAATCACACCTGAAAGCAGATAAAAAGGAGAGACGTTCACTTAACCTTTGCATTGTGTGTCTGTCTGTGCCACACTAAGCATGGACAACAGAAGAGGAGACGAGAACTGTCTGAGGACCTGAGAACCAAAATTGTGGCAAAATATCAACAATCTCAAGGTTACAAGTCCATCTCCAGAGAACTAGATTTGCCTTTGTCCACAGTGCGCAACATTATCAAGAAGTTTGCAACCCATGGCACTGTAGCTAATCTCCCTGGTCGTGGACGGATGAGGAAAATTGATGAAAGATTGCAACGCAGAATAGTCCGGATGGTGGATAAGCAGCCCCAAACATGTTCCAAAGACATTCAAGCTGTCCTGCAGGCTCAGGGAGCATCAGTGTCAGCGCGAACTATCCGTCGACATTTAAATGAAATGAAACGCTATGGCAGGAGACCCAGGAGGACCCCACTGCTGACACAGAGACATAAAAAAGCAAGACTACAGTTTGCCAAAATGTACTTGAGTAAGCCAAAAGCCTTCTGGGAAAACGTCTTTGTGGACAGATGAGACCAAGATAGAGCTTTTCGGTAAAGCACATCATTCTACTGTTTACCGAAAACGGAATGAGGCCTACAAAGAACAAAACACAGTACCTACGGTAAAATATGGTGGAGGTTCAATGATGTTTTGGGGTTGTTTTGCTGCCTCTGGCACTGGGTGCCTTGACTGTGTGCAAGGCATCATGAAATCTGAGATTACCAAAGGATTTTGGGTCGCACTGTAGGGCCCAGTGTCAGAAAGCTGGGTTTGCGTCCAAGATCCTGGGTCTTCCAGCAGGACAATGACCCCAAACATACGTCAAAAAGCACTCAGAAATGGATGGCAAAGAAGCGCTGGAGAGTTCTGAAGTGGCCAGCAATGAGCCCAGATCTAAATCCCATTGAACACCTGTGGAGAGATCTTAAAATTGCTGTTGGGAAAAGGTGTCCTTCCAATAAGAGAGACCTGGAGCTGTTTGCAAAGGAAGAGTGGTCCAAAATTCCGGGTGAGAGGTGTCAGAAGCTTATTGATGGTTATAGGAAGCGACTGATTTCAGTTATGTTTTCCAAAGGGTGTGCAACCAAATATTAAGTTAAGGGTGCCAATACTTTTGTCCAGCCCATTTTTGGGGTTTTGTGTGACATTATGTCATATTTGCTTTTCTGCCTCTGTTTTATATTTGTTCCAATACATACAAAGGGAATAAACATGTGTATAGCAAAACATGTGTTAATGCAATACCTTTTTTGTGTGAAATACTTGATTTTCAGGAAAAATATCAAGGGTGCCAACAATTTCGGCCATGACTGTATATAAATGAAAAAATCCCAAAATTTTGAAAAAAAATAATTTTTCTTATAAAATTTTGCAAATAAATAATCTTTCTTCATAAATCTTGGCCTACATGTATTCATCTATATTTTTAGTAAACGAAAAATAACCCAAATTAGTTGATAACCAAAAAGTATAATTTTTCAAAAATGTTTTTACTTTTTTATTTTTTTTTATATTATTATTATTTATGGTTTTTTTTTCTAACATACTGTCACCCTAGCAGTACAGTGTCACCATAGTGACACTATATTGCTTGTGGGGGGTGATGAAGATTTTTTTTTTTTTTTTACACTGATTGCTTTTACACCCATAAAGGCTGTAAAAGCAATCATTTCTCCTTCTCTCTGGCTGCATTCCTGCAGCCATTGGAAATACTGTGCGAACTGTAAGTGGTCATAGCTTGTCACATGGTACAAGGCTGTTGTGAATAGCCTTGTACCATGTGATCATTCACAGATTTCACAAGTAGTAAGCAATGATGTCAGGAAGTGATATCTTGTTTACTACTATTCATGTGACCATTGGCCAATCAGTGATCACATGAATCGGAATGTCAAACAGAGGTCCCGTACAGCGATCTGTGTTCCTGTGTCCAGGGAGCGTGCACAGGCAATGGATGCGGTGGGACGTTTAGAAATGTCTACCCACTTCAGCAGCGCTCCCCTCCGGCCGTTTATCAACATTGGCCAGACGGGAAGAGGTTAATATTGATTGGGCACTGGGCAAACATTTTCTTGGGCCCCTCCCTCCCCCCGCACTCTGAGACATACACAAAAACAGCAGCTAGACTCAAAAGTAGTTTACAGCAGCAGATCAGGCAGCGATTGCAATTGGTTAGCAGAGGTTACAGCATATCATTACCGCTCACTGACTGTTTACTAGAAGTTACAACACATAATTTCTGCTTGCTGATTGGTTGCTAGAGGTTACTGTACATTGTTACTGCTCACTGATTAGTTTCTATAGATTACTGCTTATCATTACTTAGATTGTACACCCCTTGAGGGTTAGGGACTGATGTGAATGTACAATATATATGTAAAGCGCTGCGTAAACTGACGGCGCTATATAAGTACCCGAAATAAATTACTGATTGGTTGCTAGAAGTTACAGTACATAATTACCGCTTACTGATTGGTTACTAGAGGTTACTGAACATCCTTATTGCTAACTGATTGGTCGCTAAAGGTTACTGCACATCATCACTGCTAACTGATTGGTTGCTAGAGGTTACTGAACATCATTATTGCTAACTGATTGGCCGCTAGAGGTTACTGCACATCATCACTGCTAACTGATTGGTTGTTAGAGGTTACTGCAATGATTATTGCTAATTGATTGGTTGCTACAGGTTACTGAACATCATTATTGATAACTGATTGGTTGCTAGAGACTACAGCAGATCACTGCTGTTCACTGACAGGTTGATAGAGGTTACTGCACATCATTAATGCTCATTGAGCAGTGGAGCAGTCCCAAAATAATTGAGCAAGGTGGCACATTAATACACATACTACAAGAGATGGTCAGAAACTGTAGACATACTGCAGAAGATGGCCAGAGACTGCGGATGTACAACAGGGGGTGATCAAAGACTGTGAATGTACTACAGGAGATGACCAGAGACTGCGGATATACTACAGGAGATGACCAGAGACTGCAGACATATTACAGGGGATGAAGAGAGACCTTTCAGCAATGCACAGATTTACACTTTGTGAAAAACAACTCAGGGTTTGGTATAACAGTCCACAGGCAGTCTATGGGGGGAAAGGACATACCTGGCCAGCCAGGCTTCACAGCTTCTACTACAGCAGCTCTCTCCTGAGCTGCATGGGGTGTGGTCAGTGGAGCTCCCGGCCCTGGCCCTGCCCCCTCCCTGCTGGCTGTGGAATACTACAATGTTGCCGGTGTACCTCTGCGCTCTGCAGTGCAATCATCGGTGCTCCAATTTGTGGGCAACGCGGGCTATAGGGGCAGCTGCTTTGGGCTCCACAACAAAGACTGAGCCCAGGGCTGCTGCCCCGTTTGCCCTGCATTAAAGACAGCCCTGGTTGTGCTAGGTGTTTATTACTGTGCCGTACTGGGGGTTTATTGTTGTGACGGGCTGTGGGTTATTTACCATGTGATGTTGGGGGCTAATTGTTGTGTAATTTGGGGGGCTAATTGTTGTGCAATGGTAGTGGGTTTAATTACTGTGCCATGCTGAAGGTTAAGTATTGAACCCTGGTTAATTACTGTGCTGTGCTACAGGTTAATTTTTGTGTCCTACCGTGAGTAATTATTGTGACGTTCTTGGGGTTAATGCTAAATTTGACACAAGCTATGGGTTTTAATTTCCGGCCAAAGCTGGGTTTATTTTAATCCCAAAGTCTCCTCAGTTCAACCCAGGTCTTAGTTGGTCTATACAAAGGTGCAAAAGTGTTACAAAGGTCATGAAGAAACATCCACTTGCTGGCCACACCCACTTTCTGGCATGCTTCATGCACCGCATTAGCCCCCCCCATTCTTACTTCAAGCACCAGCATAGCACCCACAAAAAGTTGTCTGGAGCCGCCCCAGACTGAAGCCGTCGCTAACAACTCAGCCTGGGATCAGATCGGAGCGGCTGCAGAACAAATAAATATAGGGCATGTATGGCTATGTATGATTTTTTCTTTGCAGGGGGTAGATTGATTAGGCTTAGAATGTGGCTGACAGTAGGTGTTAAAGTTAGTTGGGTTTTGCTTTTACTTCAATTCTAACTTAGTTGTGGGTTAATACCAGGAAATAGACACAAGACCGTTTAGTGGTAAATTACCTCAAAGTGTTGGTACAAGCAAGAGTAAATGAATGTATGAGTATGAATGATCGCATAGACGATAGATTCAGACACAGTCTGCTAGCCAATGTAATCTCTAGGCCAAAGTAATTTAGAATAGAGTTCTGTACCACTAGACTGGAGTCAACATATACAGTACGTCAGCAAGATCAGCAATAAACTTACAGTATATCAAATATGGTGCCGCGGTAATTGAACCCCTTCTATTGTACTAACTTTCCTAAATTAAAGTGTATACATAAGTATATGCAATATCTATAAATAAATTGCAATGAAAATGCTATGAAATCAAAGTGCAACAAACAGCAATAAATTAGTGCTAAAATGTCCATCCACTATATGTCTTTCCAAAATAGACATTTTAGCATTTAATTTCATTGCACTAATTTATTGCTGTTTATTGCACTTTCATTGCATAGCATTTTTATTTTATTGCACTTTATTCATAGATATTGTATATACTTATTTATGCAGTTAATGCAGTAGTAAATTACAACTATAAAAAAAAAAAAAAACTAACAAACTTCTCCTTGCAAGTTAAGAGCATACTGTCCTAGTATGCATTGCATACTAGCACATTGTGAAAGACTTACCTGACAATGAAGCCCTCCAACGGAGCACTGTCATGACTCCCTGAGGCTTTCATCTTCACTTCCGTCTTCCTTCTGGGTTTGCAGGCAGCGGCCGTTTGACTGGCCGAGCCGCAATGACGTCACAATGAGTTTTGGCTGCGCCATGACATTCATGACATTCATTGAGAGCGCAGAACGCATGAGTCAGTGACATCACTGGCTCTGCTGCAGTAAATATCTCCTAAACAGTGCACGTTTAGGATATATTTACAGTACCTACCAGGGGTCCACTTCACATTCTCATGGGGCCCCCGGCAATAGGGGATCATGGGGCCCCTGTGTCCTTCCCAAACTCAAAAAAGCCTATGAAAAAGGTACCAGGAGCATCTCATGGGGCCCCCTACTGACCCCGGGCCCTCGGGCAGTGCCCGAGTTTCCAAATGGTCAGTCCGCCCCTGGTACATACAGGTAAGCCTTATTAAAGGCTTACCTGTAGGTAAAACAAAAAGTAAGGTTTACTTGCACTTTAAGGTAGGAAAGTTAGTACAGTAGAAGGTGTTTAATGAGCGCAGCACAGTATTTGATATATGTTTATGCATACTATTGCCCATGAGGACTATAGAGGATGATTAGCAGCTTAGCCATAGAATAAGAGTGTATCCACAAGCGCAGTTTGGTGTTCTAAAGATCAGCAATAAGCATAAAACATACTGTAGCTGGTTAAGAGACAACTCTAACAGAATGGTTAGAGTTCTGTGTGATATTGCCTGAGAGGTACCTCTTAATCTAAGCAATGAAAACGTCTCTGTGTAGCACCTGTAATAGGGCCTTTAGTCCTAACTCTTCAACTGGGTAACGTTGAAGCCTAGTTGTACCTTTAGTGCACATTAAAACAGTCCCAGTCAGACCTGTAGGCACCTGGGCAGCTGTGTAGTCAATTCCTGAAGGGCTCAGTCTTTCTAGTAACTACATGTTATGGCTTCAAGACCCCCTCACCAGACCGAGCAACACAGTAGCAATGGTTCCTCTGGCCAGATGTCTGCTCACTTCTTGATTGCATGGAGTAGTTTCGGTCTTCAGCACAGCACGGACTGTATCGTGACTATGGCTTAGTCCCTCATCACATAGGTCCCACTTAGTTCCCCCCAGATGTGGTCTTGGATCACTGTGGTAGGTTCTTATGCTTCCTCACCTCATGCTGCTCTCCCTGTGTTCTCTGATGTAGCACAGAGCACTGCAGCAGGTCCTTGTGCTCTCTTGCCCCATTTGCTCTGCTCTCTCACCAGTAAATTACCTGAGAAAATCCTCAGTTCTCTTCCCTTCTCCTGCAGAGCTTGATGGGGATTTCAGTTCAAGCCCAATTTGGGCAGCACTCCTAAGGGGACTATATGTCCCATAATCCTTCTCCAACCCCCCTGATTGATCCACTCTTTGACTTGCCAGCTTGTCAGGAGGGAGGTGAACCAGGGGATCTGCACATAGAGCTGCCCTATATCTTTCTACAATGGCGGGAAGAGGAGAGTAGAAAGCCTGCAGCTGCACACACTCACAGGATTTCTGGTGGCAGCAGTGGGGGGTGGTGGGGATACAGCCCACTCCTGTAGCCAGTGAAGTAGTACCTGGCTGCACCATAGCTCTGTGGAAAGCAAAAAGAAGGGCTGTTCTCAGGCTTCAGGTAGATGTGGTGAGGACATTATGGGAGACAGATGGGCTGCAAGCTGTTTACAGT